GCATATCGAATACGTCACGGGTAGCTTGCCAGGCTCTGCCATGCAGGTGAGATACTTTTGGTAACTTGACAGGCTCTCCGAAAAATAGAATAATAATTATCTAAGAATTGTTACACATGTATTTGTTTCGAATTAGGAAGGCAAACTTTAATGATAGAATGGAAATAAAATTTAATTTATGGCTTTAAAAAGCGATGCTGCTTTTGCCACTTATTATATTGTTGATGTTATTAATAAATTAAATGAGGTATTCCATTTAATATTTGAATGGCAAAAATTTAAAGCACATATATATCTATATTTCTGTGTCTATGTATCTTGCAACTGTTTACACTTCAGGTAAATGGTTTAAGTTTTTTTTAAGAGAAATCTTTAAAATATAAGAAGAAACATACTTTAAGCAGTACATGTGGAGGAAAATTTGAAAACCAATGACCTGGTCAGGTTGAAGGTTGGCAGATAATGAAAGCAAAGATTTTTCTAAAAAAAGAACACAGTTTCAGAGCACTGTTTTTTTGCTTTTTTGTAGGCCACACCCAGCTGTGCTTACTTACTCCTGGCTCTGTGCTCATGGGTCACTCCTGGTGGTGCTCTGGACACCATATGCAGTGCCAAGGATTGAACTGGAGTCAGTCCTTTTGTAGTTAAAGCCAACACCAAAACGCCTGTGCTATTTCTCCAGCCCCTCAAAACTCTATAACTACTGAGGCTAGAGGCTTATATAAACTTACACAAGTGCAAAAGAATGAGAAAGAAGAAATAAACAGTATCATTTCCATTAGTGCAACATGCTATTAAATGAAACGGATGAAAGACGGAGTCCTGGGGTGCTGTGTCAAATTGGGCTTGCAGACTAATCAGTTGCCATTTGAACAACATAAGGCAAATAAGAGTTGAAACCAGATGATTATCTGGAGTGCGTGTACTCCCCACTAGAGAAGAGTAAATGTGATGACTGAAACAAAAGTCAGATATACTTAAGGATCAGCAAAAAACCCGTTGGTATGACTGTAGGTAGTAGCAAGCATGACTGTGGTGAGCAGTGCAGTCCAGAGCATAATGGGGGTGGGAAGATCTCCAAGGGGTACCTACTTCTCTACACCAAGTCCCAAGTTTGATCCCTGGCACTGTATTTCTCTCCTGCTTCCCAACTTTGCCAGGTGTAGCCCTGGAAGCCCCTCCGGACCGTGATCCTGCTGGTTCCAGCGCTATTGAGTCCCAGCATTAGGCTAATTGCTGAGATTACCAGGAATGCTGTTGAACGCTGCTTGGGCGGCCCCTCCCGCAAAAAAGAAATGCAGAGGGAAGCTAAGGATACCCAAACTTAGCTGGCCTATGTGGCATTCAGTACCTACTTGTGGCAGGCAAACAGTGACCAAAGTTTATATCAGTATATTAGCCACAGTTCAAGTGGCCATTGACTTCTCACATGTTACTAGTGGCTTCTGTATTGGACAGCACAGGTATGAATTAAATTGGATTTTCTGTTGGGTCTTGTTGGTCCTCTAAGGTGTGAGACATTCACACTTGAAGGGAAACTACTGGAGAATATTCATTTTGGTTTTGGACCCATACTGTATGGTGCTCAGAGCTCTTGGTTCTGCTCAAGGATCACTCCATGGTGGGGCTTGGGAGACTGATGAGTGCTGGGAATTGAACCCAGTTGCATGCATGCAAGGTAAGCATCCAATTCGCTATACTATCTCTCAAGCTGAGAAACTGCTTGAGAATTTGAGAAAAGTGTTATCATCTGGTTTTAAAAGTTGCTCTTGACTGTCAAGTAGAATAAGTAGGCATTGGCCATGCAGAAAGGAGGGCATTTTAAGCAAAAGGATAATATTGTGGACAAAGACTCAGATGTGCCTTTAAGACATGAAAGATACAAGTGATCAAGCTTGACCTTTGGTATTTTTGTTGTTGTAATTTTTATTTTGGTATAATTTTAAGCTTTTGTTACAGATACAAGGTTGGAAAGATAGTAAAAAGGGTTCAGGTACATACCTTGCATGTGACCAATTTATGATCCTTTGAGCCCCACCAGGTGTGATCCCTGAGCACAGAGACAGGAGTAAGCCCTGAGGACCACTAGGTGCTTTTAAATATATATGTAAATATAGTACTCCCATATGTGTGTGTCTCTCTGTAGTGTGTGTATATATACATATATGTATATATGTGTGTGTGTATATATATATATCTATATATACAGTCCTCTCACATCTAGTTTCTTCAGTTTCCTTTATTTTCCCCTCTCCAGATTAAAAAAATATTTTTGTATAAATACAATAAGTCCTCACACTTTTGGGGGGTTTCACTTGAGCCCTTTGTCCTTAAATGATTGTATATGTGCTTTATAGGAATAAGAACTTTTTTTATTTGGCCACACTTGGTGGTGTGCTTACTCCTGACTCTGTGCTCAAAAATCACTACTGGCAGTGCTGTGTATCAAACTAGGGTTTAATCTATGTATTATCTCTATGGCCTCTAGTAAGCCTTAGATAGTTAGTGTGAAGATAATAGCTATTGAAGCAGCTTAAGTCTGGGACTGGTATAATGCAAATCAGCATTTTAAAAACACCACTTCCTGATGGTGTGCAGAAAAGATGGTGCAGTCAGACTTGCAGTTGAGAGAATGATTATGAGGTTCCTTTAGTAATTCAGATAAGCCACAATAAAGTTCTCAGAGTAGTGAAGAGAGAATGAAGTAGCTTGTAGTAGAGAAACCTGACAAGCATCCCTCAGCCAGTGATCAATCTCCACACGATATTGATCTTCTATTGGATTGTTCCTTTGAGATGATAGGCCCTCCTCAAAATAGGACTCATTTTTGGTCTTCCTCTCCCTAACACAAAACTCCCAAATGATCATGAGAAAAATATGAAATATTTCCATCTAATTCAGTCTTAAAAAGGAAGGACTTTCTGATGTTTGGTATGAACCTTGGTGACATTATGCTAAGTAAAATAAGCTCATCACAGTAGGAAAAATAATGTATAATTACACTTACATGAGATAACATCAAATCTTAGTATAAATTTGTTTGTTTGCAGGGTCTGGGGAAAGGAAAGAATCACTGTTACCGTTTCAGTTAGGTAGAGTTTTAGTTTGACAAGATGAACAGATCTATGAATGCAATGATTTGGATGACCTTACAACATTATAGTTGTAGTAATACCACTGAACTGTATATTTGAAAATGTTTTCAGTGCGGGCTAGAGAGATTCTTCAACAGACTGAGCTCATACTTTGCATGCAGAAGGTCTGGGTTCCATCCTGACTTTGTATGATCCCCCAATCTGGAGTAACCCCTGAGCACCACTGAGCATGGCCCCAAAAGTGATTTTTATGTTTATTTTATGTAGATATGTGCATATAAGTCACTTAAATAGATGAAGGTCACTGAAATAAATAAGTATTTATGGGAAGGAAAATTAAAATGCTCTTTGAGAATGTGTTTTTTTGAAACCAAGTAAGTTGTTTGGGACCCAGTTCTTGTTAACATTTGGAGTAGTTAAATTTGGTAGTAATCTTTTTGTTGAAGTCAGATATAAAAATAAGTTGGGCCTGATTTCTTTATGACTTATACATTTTTAAAAGATAATACTGTTGTATAATTGCAAAAATAATATTTGTTATTTTTACTCTTCTATAATTGGTGATTGTGTCTCATTCTCAGATTGCCATTCAGGCAGACTTTTTAAATATTTTTGAAGACAGTCCTCACATTTGAGCTAGTTTGGTGATTATTCTTGGTATTAGAATGAGCCTGTGCATTTCTGGAAGGATGCCACGGGAGGATGGGGGAGATGCCTTCCCTAGGGCACCTTCACTGGGAGTGCAGGTACTGTCACTGGTGGTGGTAACCTTGATCTGAGATGCTGTTTGCTAGGATTTTGTCCTATATTATATACATTTACTATTTCTCCCCCTTGCAATTACTGTTTGGGGAGTGATATTCAAGACTGTGCTCCATATTAATTTTTTTTTTTGATCACACACAGCAGTGCACAGGGGTTACTCCTGACAGTGGTTGGGGTACCATATGGGATGCTGGGAATCGAACCCGGGTCGGCTGAGTGCAAGGCAAACGCCCTACCTGCTGTGCTATCGTGCCAGCCCTGACCATTGTTATTTATTGACTGTGGTTATTTACTACTAATGTGGAATCCTGATGGTGATTTTATATTTGCATCGAGTCTTTTATTAGGAAGATTTTTGGGCCCCCCCATTCCCTCATATAAATATTTTAGTCAATTTTACTTTTGAGGGGTTAAGCCCATTTGGATTATATAGTTGTATCAAGGATTGAGAGGAAAGCGTAGCTCTTTTTTGTTTTTTCTTTTAATCTTTGTTTTTGAACCCAGCTTGCTTTGCTTCCACTGTTCCTTTCTGCTCTTTTGTATTTTAAGACTAAATAGAGTCTGTAAACCCAGCTCCCTGGTGCCCTATATATTTCATTTTATTTTTTCTTTCTTTGCACTTTTAAAAATTAAAGCGCTAATTTACAAAGATAGCACAGCGGTAGGGCGTTTGCCTTGCACGCAGCCAACATGGCCGACCCGAGTTCGATTCCTCCGCCCCTCTCGGAGATTCCGGCAAGCTACCGAGAGTATCTCGCCCGCTCGGCAGAGCCTGGCAAGCTCCCCGTGACGTATTCGATATGCCAGACACAGTAACAACAAAGTCTCCAATGGAGACGTTACTGGGCCCACTCGAGCAAATCGATGATCAACGGGAGGGCCTTTACTTTACTTTTACTTTTATTTTACTTTCTGAAGTTCACTTCTGTTATTCTTTTGTTTTGATTTGTTAAGTAATATTTTGTACAAATTCATATAATGCAGATGATTCCCCTCCCAAGTAGCTCAAAGTATAAACTGCTTTAGTAAACAGGTTGAATAGTAAAATTGTATTTTGTGTGACTGTGGTATCTTTCAATTTTATATTTTAATAACTGCTTTGGAACAAATATATACCTTTAATTTTTTTTTCCTTCTTAGGCTTGAAAAGGAATACACTACAATAAAAACTAAAGAAATGGAAGAGCAAGTTGAAATTAAAGTAAGCCCCTCAGGATTTTTAAAAGTACTGGACATAAATTAAAGTCAGTTATTTGGCAATAAGTGTTAGGTCATATTCATTATATTTGTTAACTATCTGTAGTAAATTTGGCAGTAATTTTTTTTTCATTTATTGGTAAATTTCTTCACTATCTTCCTAGATTACAGTTTGAAATAGGCATTTGAAAAATAAGAATACTGTTTTTTTAAGTTTTTTTAAATTCTAGTATGAAAGAGAGAAGTGTTTTCCTTTCTTAAGATTTGTTGGGTTGTTGGGGATAATTATCATTACATTTTAGCATATTTTTAAATGTTTCAGAGAAGCTCGTCTATAACATGTGGAGACTAATAGCAGTATAGTCTAAAGTATAACAAATAGAGCAAGTCATAGCACTGGAACTAAATTGAGCTTATAACTTTGAGCTTTAGGAAATGTAGGCTAATTTAGTTTTCCCATTTCTAAGCAAAGGTTGCACTATAAAGTACTCTCCAAGAAAAAGATAGATTTGTAATTTTGAGGAGATACAAATTTCTAAATATGTCTATTTGGTGTTTTTTTTAAACATTTTTATGTCCATGAACATACTATATTTCACTTACTATAATTATCTTTTGTACCCACAATAGGTTATAAATTCTAAATTAATTATCATTAATGCTATTTCATCTGGGGGTTAAGCAAAGTTGTATTGGCTTTTATGCCAGTATTTCAGGATAGGGGTGATGAGTAAGAGCATAAGTTAGTAAAGAAATTCAATGGCAGGCTGAACCAGTTTCTTTCCATTTTACTTCATTTCCGCTCCACTATACTCTTTGCTGCTGTAGTCTTCCTCAGATGCTTTCTGGGAAATATCAGCTCTGTATGCAGGAATCCCAAATTTGGTTTTCTGAGCACCATGAGGAGATAACCTGAGCATAGAGCCAATAGTTATCCCTGAGCACCACCGACCCCAACATTACACCCCCCCAAAAAAAAATTACTGGGAAAGTTTTTCCCTGCTTTTCTATGTGATGTCCCCGACTGTCTGTCTCTCTTTCTTTTTCTCTTTTTCTTTCTCTTCTCCTAGACTTTCCCCACTCCTGTTTCTATCATCTGTCCCCTATGAATTGGAAACAGATTCATCTCTGTTTTTCAAAGAGAGAGAGAAAGAGCAAGAGAGAAAGAAAAAGGCCCTATGAATGTTTTCTTTCCTTTTAAAAAAACTCTGTCACCCAATTGCTCCTCTACCGTTTGCTTTTAGGGCAGGGGAAGGGCACGATTAAGTCATACCTTCCACTTCAGTCTACTAAAAGTAAAAAGAACGTCATCCTGATGAGTGGGGAGCAAGTATGGGTTCTTGCATACCACAAGACATTGCTCTTGAAAAAGTTCCTTCTAAAATGAAGTCACGTGAATATAAGAGTACCCAGAGACCTTTTCAAAAAGACTGTTAACAGATTTTAATCCATATTTGCGGTTTTTTCCAAGTTTGCTTTTGGAGAATGGTTATTTAGTCTTTTGGTTTTTAGGGTTTTTTTTTGTTTTGTTTTGTTTTGGCCATACATGGTGGTGCTCAGGGCTTATTCCTGGCTGTACATGCAATGATAACTCTTGGTAGAGCTCAGGGACCATATGGGGTGCCAGGAATCAAACCTGGGTTGGACACAAGCAACGCAGCCACCCTCCTCTCCAGTCCCAGAAGGTTATATAGTTCATATACCTAACAGGATGACTTTTGGATGCACATTCGATGTATTTTAGGCAAAAACCGTGACCATAAAATCACTTACTGAGAATAATCCGCAAAAAAGTTTAAGAAATTGGTGAAATTCCAGGCAAATAAAATATGCTTATCTTGAAGGTAGTCTGTTCCTTTTATAAAACTCTGTTTCCACATAGTTTTCTTACACTTAACATTTTTGTCATTTTCATCATTCCTCCTGCCCTGCCAAGGATAAAGTCAAAACAGTTTTTGTGTCACTGTACTTCTTTTTTTTTTTCTTTACTTTGTTTCACTTAAAAATTTTTTTTTACTTCGGTCTGATACTTCATTTCAGTCATAATCAAAAATCCAGTTACAGTTAGTTAGCTTAGTATTATGTATAGCCTTTAAGATGGGAACTGCCACTTTCTTACTCATGTCCTTTTCCTTTTTTCTCCAGGGTCTCTTGTACAAGGGAGTGAATTCCATTAAACTTGTACTTTCTTGCCTTGGTTCTCCTCAAAAAGCTACAGGGATATTGTCTTGCTTATACTGCTCCTTATTAAAATAAATAGCACGATCATTAAATTTGATATAGAAGTAATCAAAATTAGGCTTTGATATTGTGTGATGTTTCCATTAATTTTTCTTTAATTAAAATTTTAAGACCTCTGGGCTGGTGACCTTTTTTTTCATAAGAATTCTGTCTCAGCTCTCTGATCAATATGTGATTTTTTTTCAGGGGGAGGGGGACACACTTGGCTGTGCTCAGGGCTTACTCATGGGTCTGTGCTCAGGAATCACTCTTGGTGGGCACAGAAGGCCATATGTGATGCTGGGGATTGAATCTGGGTCAGCCATGTGCAAGGCAAGCGCCCTATCCACTGTACTATTGCTCTGGCCTTCAAGATGTAACTTTTAAGCATCTTCCAATCCTTCCTTATTATAGGAAGAGTTTGATAATAATGGTTTTATAAAAAGAATTTTACATTTTTACTGTGAAATTTTTTGTTAATGGAAGTACCTTTATCAGTCTCTTCTTCCAATTGATTGGTGTTCCACTTGAGGTCGGGGGAGGTAAGAAATATGAAAATTCTAGCTTCTATTAAAGTAACTCACATCTTTAAAAAGAAAAACCTTTATCCCCAGCTCTGTTTAAGACAGATACATGCATGTACCAATAATCTGCTATTTACATTTAAGTTGGAATTTGGGACATAGAGATGTAAAGCTTAGGAAATGGAAGGTGTTTAAGATTCTAATAGGTTTTTAGTCAGAATTTATATTCTAGGTATAATAAATATCAGTGTAGTAAAAAATACTCATCTACTGACTGACATTTAAAAAGGAAACACAACAAATGTTAATTTTGTCACATATGAATTAACAGTTGAACAATCAGTCTGAGGTGGAGACTCACATTATATGATAGGTCATTTATATGCATTAGCTCCTCTTTTTCTTACGGTAACCTCATGTAAGGGGTCTGGTCCTTTTATTTCTGTGAAGAAAGAAACTAAGCTCAAGTATGTCACAGCCACATTGTTAGAAAGTAGTGAAAGCTGAGGATTTAATCCCTGATCTGTGTTACTCTCCAAAATCTAATGGGATCCAAAATCTTAAGCATACCTTGTGCTGCTTTCTCAGACCGAGTTTAATGTATTAACGTAGGAAGAATTTGGGTGTGCACTTGTTTAACAAGAGCATAGTTTATTCAAGAAGTTATTTATCAGATATATGCCTATTATATACTCTTTAAGTGCTTGAGGTGTATAGACCAGTTCCTGCTCATGTGTAATTTACATTCTAGTAAGAAGTGAAACACTAAACAGAGAAGTAAAATGTATGGTACTTCAGGTGATGGTATTAAGCAGAAGAAAAGATACTTTAAGGACAGGAAAACAAAATTGTAGCACTTGAATTGAAAATTTAAAGAAGCTGACTGGGTTAATTTTGAAGAAGTGAGAGAACTAGCTATATAGATGCCTGAAGAGCAGAATTTGGCAGGGAGTATGCCTGGTGCAAAGCACGATCAAAATCACCATGGAAATAGGAGATGAGAACCTAGTATTTTGGCTTGAGCAGTTAGGAAAATAGAGTTCTAAGTAGCAGATGGATATGTCTACAGGGTAATGTCTTTAGAAAGATCTGGTTTGGAAAATAATAACAATTTCGGAGTCCAATATTATATAATATATGAGATCTTTATGGATATTCAGCTAGCCCCTTGAGTATCAGAGATGAAGAGAAGACATGTTGGAAATAAAAAACTAGGTAGTTGACACAATAATGGACATTGATGGTGAAGTCAGATCTGACTTGGGGAAAGAGAATGGATGAAATAGAATAGTATTCAAGAACTGAGTGGAAACTAAGCCAACATTTTAAGGTTAGGAGGCTGAGGACAATGACAGCATGAGAGAATATCAGGGAAGTAGTGTCCTAGAAGGCAAGAGACAAGAGTCTTTCAAAAGAAGGACTTACTACATTAGACAGACACTTATAAGGTTTTGGTGATCTTAGTACAGAGATATAGTCATAGTTTTTTGTCAGTACAGAGATCGCTGGAGAAGTCGTGGGAACAAAAAGGACTGGAGCGAAACTAGAATCTAATGGAGATGGCATTATAGATATTTCTCATGGAATTTGCTATGAAAAAGAAATGATAAGGTAGCTGGAGAGAGTAGTGATGTAAAGAGGTTTTTTTTTTTTAATTCCTTTTTGTTCATGGGAGAAGTAAAGGTAAAGGTAAAGGCCCTCCCGTTGATCGTCGATTTGCTCGAGCGGGCCCAGTAACGTCTCCATTGGAGACTTTGTTGTTACTGTGTCTGGCATAGCAAATACTCTCGGTAGCTTGCCGGGCTCTCCGAGAGGGGTGGAGGAATCGAACTCGGGTCGGCCATGTTGGCCGCTTATAAGGCGAACACCCTACCGCTGTGCTATCGCTCCAGCCCCATGGGAGAAGTAGTCATGTTTTTATGGGGATAATTCAGTAGGAAAATATGAACAAATGACAGAATCAGTAGATGAAGAGTATGGGATTCAGTGCATGGGTGGGAGGCTTGATGTGTTCTACTAGCATGGCTAGTTAATCCATAGTAACAGGAGAATGTAAAATACATGGGCATAATTGTAATATTGAGGGAATTTATTCTTACTGTATCACCTTTTTCTGCGAAATCATAAACAAGATTATCATCTGCGAGAGACAATGAGGTGTGGAGGGTTGCTTTTTTGAATAGGAATATGAAATAGTAATTCAAGAGGATGAGAAGATAGCCTAAGAAAGTACATTTCATTGCTAAGAATCTGAGTGAATTTAGTGATAGTTCATGTAAATCATGAAATGTTTTCAACATGGGTTCAGACAATAGTATGTTTTCCCAGAATCCTGGTTTAACCAGGCAAGTACACTGAGAACTAAGGGGGAGACAAGTGTTTACTAAGTACTAAGGGGTGAATGGGGTTGGGAGATGTAAATTAAAGCAAAGGAATGTCGACTGATTGGAAGTTAAAGCATAGAGATGATGGTTGAAGAGTGGAATGATAGAAATAAAGATTTCCTTTTTGGTTGATTGTTGTTTTTCAATTTTTGTTAATGAAACAGTTATAGTTATATCAACTTCACTATAAAGTTTTTTGTAGCATCTTGTAATTTCCATAGCTTGTAATAGGTAGAATTATTATAACATAGGACATTAATATTTTTAAGACTATTGACTTAAACTAAATTAAATTCTTAAAAATACTATTATTAGTAGCACTGTAGCACTGTCTTCCCGTTGTTCATCTATTTGCTCAAGCAGGCACTAGTAACATCTCCATTGTGAGACTTGTTACTGTTTTTGGCATATCGAATACATCATGGGGAGCTTGCCAGGCTCTACCATGCAGGCGGGATACTCTGGTAGCTTGCTGGGCTCTCCAAGAGGGATGGAGGAATTGAACCTGGGTCGCCCGCATGCAAGGCAAATGCCCTACCTGCTGCGCTATTGCTCCAAACCTTCTTCCTCTATAAGTGTACAAATACTTTCTATTTGTATTAGTATTACGTTATAATATTAAGGTATTAGATCAAATTTCTTAGCAAATATTTCTGCATTTTATATTTTTTTAGCAGAGAATTTCATTTTACTTGCCAACATTGGGGCAGTATTCTTTTTATTTTTTTGCTTTTTGGGTCACACCCGGCAATGCACATGGGTTACTCCTGGCTTTGCTCTCAGGAATTACTCCTTGCGGTGCTCAGGGGACCATATGGGATGCTGGGAATCGAACCCAGATCGGCTGCTTGCAAGGCAAACGCCCTACCCACTGTATTATTGCTCCAGCGCCTGGGGCAATATTCTTGCTCTTTTAGTTTTAGTTTCTCATTTCTAATTGGTTAGGTAAAATAACCTTGTTTCTTTTTTTTGATGGTAATTGGGGGCTCTCTCCCAAGTGGTACTCATGGGATCCAGGTGCCACTCCTGACAATACTCAGCTATGCAGGGCCTAAGAATTCAGTGCTGCTCATGTCCTGGCAGTGCTGGGAACCACCAAGGCCAATTTAGTGACACTTGGGAGGCCCCCAAGGCTTCAGCTCATTCAGAGATTGAACCTGGATTAGTCCAAATACCCCTGCTATCTCCATGGCCCTGAGAAAAATAGACACAGTAATTTGCTTACATGTATAATCCTCTAAGCTATATATAAAATATGAATATCCAGAAAATAAGAAACATTTTTTTCTGAAGATGTTTTGGGTCTGAGATCATTTATAGAATAATATAAATATCAAATGTTCTAGTGAATAGAGTACAAAAATCTAATTTGAAAATTATATTTGTACTGGCTTTAGGATTATTTTGTTCTGCTTGTTCATTTCTATGTAATAATTCATAGTTTTTAATTTCCTTGGTTTGAGACTATTATAAAATACTATGGTCTTTGCTAGCAAAATAATGAGTTGATAAAAAAATTTCTTAGAAAGGCTTTAGCAGCAGCATAGCAGGAAATTTAATGTTGGAAAAAGACTGGATTAAGTGAGGTTTGGAACAACTTGGTGCAGAAAGGTAAAGGGGGTTGAAATTGGAGTGATATGAAATTGCAGGGGTTAGGTGACTTAGAAAAGGGGTACTTTTTGTGAATTAATATGAAATTATATCGGAGTATGCAAAAAACTGACTTAAAAATGTGGAGTGCTTGAGATTTATTACTAATGGAAGTAAATTGGCAATTTGACTTTGAATAATTAAGTGGAATATTTTAAAATATGATTTTACTCTTTTGAACTATGATAAAATGATAATTAGAACATTAGTTTTTCTAAAATAAAAACTATTTACAATAAACAGTTGGTGAGATTAATTTACATTTTTAGAATGTAAGGAATTTTGCAAATTTGTGTATATAACAAATGGAAACTAGTTCTAAAACTGATAATATATATCTCATCAGGGTCTTTTTTAGCCCGAGTTCATTTGTAGGAAAACATTAATTAAGGTTTATTAATGCTGTTATTTATGCATGTACTGTGACTTTTGTTTAAAATTCAATCAAAACTGGAATGATAAATGTGGTCATTTCCCTGTATAAATCTTAACTGACAGTTTGGTGATGAGTGAGGTATTGGGATATAGTATGCCTGAAGCAGCATTGTTAACATTATTGTAAGTCATGGACTTAAAATACATAAAATAAAAAGAAAATAAATTGGCAATGATAATATTGTTATTCCTAGAATTTTTTCCCCTTATTTATAAGAAGTGGTATATTTTAAGGATTATGTCATAGATATCTTTTTCTCTCTGGGATGCTTGTAAAAACATGTTTTTTTCCTCCCTTTGTTCTTATTTTGCAGAGGTTACGAACAGAAAATAGACTTTTAAAACAACGCATTGAAACATTAGAAAAAGTAAGTGAATGGGTACTTATATACAAGCATCTCATGAATGTACAGAATTCTGTTCATTTTAAATATAGACTCAAAATGCACAGGATTTCTGTTCATTTTAAATACATACTAAAAAAAATATAGGGATAAGGGATATTGATCCCTTAGCTTCCTTCTCTGCTTGCTGTTTAACTTTAGTAGTAATTGATCGTGTTCTTGAACTTAAAGTGTGAAGTTTCACTGAAGTTACTATTAGAGTTAAGATATTGATATAATTTGTTTTCTTTTATATATAATCTCTAAAATGTATATTCTTTAGAAGGACCTTTACAGAAAATCCATTCTTCATGTATTTTAAAAATAAATTTTAAGTGATGCCCTGATAGTCTGTCTAACCATGTTTTAAAGATGGAAATGATTCTTATAAGATCAAAGATTGCCTTAAGTGTAGTGAAAATGACTAACGTTTCTTATATAAAAATATATATGTAAATATTGAGCTAGAGAGATAAGGTAAGTTGCTTTTCTCTCAAAGGGTAAGGTGCTTGCCTAGATAGTTCAAATCCCCAATCACAAGATGGTCCCCTGGGCGCCTCCAGGTATGAGTCCCCCTCCCAATAAAAGTACTATTACTGACCTCTTAGGTTGACTCAGAGGTGGATTATGTGCCTTACATGTGTGATTCCCTGTGTTTAATCTCTGGTCCTGCAAACAAAATAGGGTAAAACAAACAAACAAAAAATTTACTATGATGTATGTTTAGCATAGAGGAATTGTGCTTAAATCTCTGGTTCTTAGAATGATTATTTTCATGCTACTTTTTCTCCTCTGTTGTATATAAAATAATTTGTCACATATGGGAATCATGACTTTTCACATTGTTCTTTTGTTGTGCTGTCTTTTGTAGTCTTCTGATGCTTTACAAATGCACTGAGTAATAAAAATGTGTAGGAGTTTTTGGTTTGTTAAAAAGGAAAACATCTGCATTCACAAAGCTGGTGTTTGGGACTTTTTTATTTTTTGAACCTAAACATGAGAAACAGATTAAAAGTACTCCTCATGATAGTGCTGAGTATTTTAAAATCTTCCTGAAAATTTAATTTGGTGTTCGAGAAAGAAATAGATGAAAGTATGGATAGTATGAAAAATAATCTTAGTTTTGAAAGTGTGAGCAATAGCACAGCGGTAGGGCATTCGCCTTACAAGCAGCCAACATGGCCGCCCCGAGTTCGATTCCTCCGCCCCTCTCGGAGAGCCCGGCAAGCTACCGAGAGTATTCGATATGCCAGACACAGTAACAACAAAGTCTCCAATGGAGACGTTACTGGGCCCGCTCAAGCAAATCGACGATCAACGGGAGGGCCTTTGAAAGTGTGAATGATTTCATATTAGATGTGCTATACAAGGTATGGATGACTTTTTAATTGTTGTATAATTGTAGATTCATTATGTGAAATCAAAAATAGTTTTTGTATGAGGATAATCTATTTTTGGCGATTTCATAAAGAAGTTGAGCTTAATTTTTTAAGGTCATTATAGATCACTATTTTTGAAAAAAAAGAATTTGGAGTATGACATTTTCAGTAAGAAAGCATTTTTATTTAGCTTTTCGTTTGTAGAAAAGTATTTATTGTTTGTCTTGCCTGTAGAAAATTATGTACCTTTTTACGACTGGTTTTACCTACTAGGTGTGCCCTTTAGCATTCAGAATTCTAGAAATACATTTCAATTAAACTCTGTAACCAGAAATTTTGATCAGTTATTGCTAGTTTGTTCTATCAAGTTTATTAACTTGTCATATTTTCCTTGCTTTGCTTCTTTGAAAGTTACTGTTGCACAAATTGCTGTCACACTTTATAAGTGAAATTGCTTACTCAAATTCCTTCTGCCTTTTGGGTTGGCATTTTGGCTAGATCTAAATATAATTTGCTTTGAAAATAAGATATTTATTTATCTAAATAATGAAAAAAACCCTTAGAATATGTGTTCGATTTACTAGATGCACTTGATTTTTTGCAGTATATATTTTGACATATGTTTGAATGTTTAAGACTAAGAGCATGTTCTGTAGTAGTTTTAAAATCTAAGTTTCTGTTTTAATTGCAATGAAAAGTAGGTGGAATTTGGGTATGCTTTGTTTCTTCTTATTCCTAATTTTATCACCTTTATTTTATTTCTTTCTCTGATATTCCTATCTGAATTTTTCCTTTTGTAGGAAAGTGCTTCCTTGGCAGATAGATTGATACAGGTATTGTTTTTTATTTTAGCATTTTCTCTAACCTCTAAGGGAAGCCCTAAACCTAGAAATCATAATCAAATGCATGCAATTTTACATGCATTTTCCTAGAAATAATTTTGGGATGGTATATTTAGATATAACCTTAATTTTTGATAACAGTGTTATCATGGTTTTAATGAAAGCCATTTGCACGTTTTAAAGCTAACCTTATTTTAAAGTATTTCTTCCAAAATGGTAACCAGTGGATTCTGAGAAATTAATTAACTATTTATTGAAAATTTTAGTTCTGCATGTACAACTGAATAATATTGCATGAGTTCAGTTTTTATTGACTGAATGAATTGTTCATGTAATTGTCAGGTAAACTTTTCATTAGTTTTTCCCAAATTTGCTGGAGCAATAATAAGCTGCTGACTAATAATTACTTAGGCTATTCTGTCTCTGAGATGATTTTTCATTTTTTTTAACAAATCAAAGTAAATGACTAAACCTCACAAGGGGAGTCTTTCTTGAATCTATCCTAAGTTGGTTTACACACACAAAAAATTATGTCCTAAGGGACAAGTGACAAGAGCCCAGGAGGCTGAGGAAAACTACCTCATAAAACGGGAGTTGGCCACCATCAAACAGCAGAGTGATGAGGCCAGTGCTAAACTGGAGCATGCTGAGAGTACCATCAGGAAGCTCCAGCACCAGCAACAATGGGTAAGGAGTTGGGCAGGGCTGTTTCTCTCCTCTCTCATTCCCTTCCCTTCGAATCTTTATTTGTTGTTTGTTGTTGTTTTTCTAGCACAATCTTGTGCTTTTGTTCTGAATAATTTTGTTTTCTGTGTTAAGCTCTTAATTAATTTTACACTCTGTAATAATTTAGAAGTTTTTCTGTGGCCCAAAGACTCCTTGTTCTAAAATAATTTTAGTCTACGCAGTTTTCTTAGGAATTAGTAATATTTCCTTTCACTACATTATGTTTTCCGTCACAGAAAATAAGTGATATATGTTAGACCTTCGTTTTAAGCTTCAGAAATATTTTTCTAGTTATTTTGCCATGGGTAGTTTTAAAATATTCAGCTTGTTTTAATTCACTGTGCCGATGAAATGTTAGCATGTAGAGTATATATAATGATCTCATTTTAAGCTTTGATAATGAGCTGCCCTTTCTCTTTTTTTTTTTTTCTGTTGAAGCTTAGAAAGATGTGAGGGGAGAGAAAAGGGAGAGGAGTGAGAGTTCAAGAGAGAACACAGGCTTCTCCAGAGAGAAAATAGGCAAGCAAAGACCACATGGAGATAGTATGATACGTGTTCAAGGGAGAGCACAGGCTTGAGGAGCAAGCCCAGTCCTCTCAATTTCTTTGTCAAGACATTAAGCTCTGACTTAAGGTATCTTCTTATATTTTTTTCAAGAGGAGTATAGTTTTCAAAACATCAGCCTAAGACTCTTGTTAACTCTCTTTGGGTATTAAGTTAAACAGCTTCTAATCATAAAAATACACGTAGTATCTTTCTTCTTCAACTTGAATACCCTTTTCCATAGTCAAGTTCAGACTAATGTGTTTCTAAGGGCCTTAAATTAGGATCATTGAGGATATTCAGTTTTCTCTTCTCTAATAAGAATTGGGTTGTTGGGGGGCTGGAGCGATAGCACAGTGGGTAGGGCATTTGCCTTGCACGCAGCCAACCCAGGTTCGATTCCCAGCATCCCATATGGTCCACTGAGCACCGCCAGGAGTCATTCCTGAGTGTAGAGCCAGGAGTAACCCCTGTGCATTGCTGGGTGTGACCCAAAAAGAGCAAAAAAAAAAAAAGAATTGGGTTGTCACGAGCTGGCAAAATTTCTTTTAAGTCTAGAACTTGGTACTGGTCTAATAGGGAGATAGAATGACTTTAAAGTTGGATGTTACCTTTATCCAGTAAAATACATCATCACCTGGGTATAAATACCAGAAAATTAAAAGCAAAAAATAAAATAAGGGAAAAAAAATCCTACCATTTTTTGTTGTGAAGGTGATTAAGAAAAATAAAAAGTTGTAAACAACTGCTAAAATGAGGGGAATGTGACTATTTTGTCCTAGTCTCATAAGAGATATCAATAATATCAAAGCATAAAAGTAGAATTGGGGATTACTGGGAACTAAACCGACCAGTTATCAAATGCGATGTGATTTCTTGATAACATCATAGTATGATATTTGCATCTAGTATTAACTAGTCATAATTCATTAGAATAAATTCAATAAGTACCGTTAAATTTTGAAAAGTGGTTTGTAGCCATAATAATGCTTCATAAGAAATTTCAAGAACAGGCTGTGGAGATAGCTCAGGTGGCAGAATGCATGCCTGGCAGGTCCATGGTTCTGAGTTTGAACTCTAGCACTGCATGGGCTCCCACTGAGCACCACCACCTTTTATGTTAAAATCCTAGAACATCTGCTTTTGGTGAATGACGGAAAAAATAACTTTAATTCACAAGATAAATAGAGATGAAAATAGTAAATAATTTTATAGTCGATTAACTGCAACAAGAGGCTTATTCATGTTAAAAAAATGTCTAAAGTCTTTCTCAAGATGTACTTCAAATATTATAGTTTATTATTTAAGTTTCCATATGTCAGATATGTTTAAAATCTTTATACGTAAAATTTGTGAGAGATGCTGTTACTGTGTTTGGTTAATAAACCAGGATTTCAAAATATTTGTCGTTTATTCATATTATAAAACCAAGAGATTATTTCACAGAGGTGAATTTTCCTTGCACTTAAGTTTAAAATTCAACAACATATCAGGCCTGAGAGATGGCTCAACAGGCTGAGCACATGCTTTGCATGCTGGAGGCTGAGGTTTGATCTCTGATACAAGATGGTCCTCTGAGCACCACCAGGAATGGACTGACCCTTTCCCCCTTTCAAGGAAAAAAATCAGCAGTACATCTTAGTGATTCTCTATGTAATAAATGCCAGAAAGTAGTCTTCCTAGAAATATGTATACATATGTTTGTATACACACACATATACATGTATGTATGCATATGTGTATACATATACATGTGTATATGTATGTGTGTATTTATATAAATTAAGATAGTTTTTATTGAACAAAATTTACTTAGATTTTAGGGGAGAGAAAAAGAGGAAGTAAAGGAAGAGCACAGGCTTGAGGAGCAAGCCCCGGGAAGTATTCTTGTTTATTCAGTACAATTCTAGGTAACGTGGAAATTTTGTAGTATTGTGTCTGTGTTTAGGAATATATGTTTTCTAATACAAAGGAGAATCAAGTTCTAAAGTATGAAATGTATAAATTCACAGTTACAGTCAAGTCTCCAGTATTTTTGTTTCAGTCTTTGAAGAGGCAAGTAGGAAGAAACAGTATCGGCGGAAAATGGGTATAGATTTATCTTTACAATATTATCGAGCAATTTTCTCATTGCACTTATGAAACTTTTTCTAATAACAACTATATACTCTTTTTCAAAAAGTAAACATGGCATTTACAAAGATAAAATATATCCAGGCCAATGAAATGAACTTTTTTTTTTCTTTTTGTATCACACCCAGCAATGCTCAGGGGTTACTCCTGGCTCTGCATTCAGGAATTACTCAATTACTCTTGGCAGTGCTTGGAGAACCATATGGGATGCTGGGGATTGAACCTGGGTCAGCCAGCCGTGTGCTGGCAAACACCCTACCCACTGTGCTATCGCTCCAGCCCCTGAAATTAACTTTTAACAAAGTTGAAGTAATAAAAACTTACAAGGAATCTTTCTAGATTCTATGACATTTTGACAACATTTTTATTTATGTGTCAAAAGAAAAGTTTAAGAGAAACTAACATTTGAATTAAATTGATTACATAAATTAAATGAAAATGATGAAACTTTAAGTGAGAATGATGAAACATTATCAAAATTTGGGGATTAAATTTATAGTTCAGTGGGTTGAGTGCTTGCTTTGCATGTTGTGGGGGGAGCCGGGTTTGATCCTTAGTACTGTAAGGTCCCCTGAACACCACAAGGAATGATCCCCAAGCAGAAAGCTGGAGTAGTCCCTGAGCACCACCAGGTGTCGCCCCTCTCCGCCTCTAATTTATGGCACTGAATACTTGCGTTAGGAATGGAAATAAGTTTAAAACCTCTAATCTGAACTCCTTCCTTAACAAATTAGACATTAAAAAAAAAAATCAAAAACCAAATTCAGCTTAAAGCGAATGGAAATCAATGAAATTGAACCCATTACAAAACAGAAAATAACCAAATTTGTTATTTTAAATGGTTAATAAAGTTGATAACTCCTATCTGGATGGCTTAAAGGAGAGCAAAGAGTGATCTGCTTCAGGGGTGTTACAACTGCATAGACAGGTGTCATCTTGTACTCTGTATTTCTCAAATTTCTTCCTTACTGTCATATTTCTTGCAAGCTAGATTCAGTTTTATGATATATGATGAATGAGATATGAGAATGTGAACTTTATTTTACTTTAAATCAGGAAGCGTATAGTGCATATTGTTTCCATTATTAGTGATATTATGTTTAAATACTATGCTAAATTTTGTTACCATAGACTCACTAGCTTTTAACAAAGGAGTGGTTTCTTCTTACCACCAGCAAGTAATTTTGGAGGGAAATGGTTTTCTACCAAGCAAATGACACCCTCTATTTACCTTTTATCTCGCAGTTTTAGTACCTGTAGATTCGGTTCCCAAATGTTCATTTTCATGTTTTCTCATTTGGCAAATTTTTCTCTTTTGTAAAGAGACTTTTCTTCACTTTCTTTCAGCCAGTTTGGCTCTTGTCTTACTACGTAGTCAATAACTTTTGTTGCCTTTATGTAATTTTGACTGCTCGTAATGCTATTAGTGCAATCTTTCTCTTATTTTCCAATAATATTTTAAACTTTTGATTGGTTTTTCAAAAGTAAATGTTGAACTGGAGAAGAAGTAGAGGAGGTAGGACATTTGCCTTACATGCAGCCAACCCATTTTGATCCCCAGCACCTCATATGGTCCCCTGAGCTCTGCCATGAGTGATCTCTGAGGCAGAAGTAAGCCCTAAGCACAGCTGGGTGGAGCCCAAAAACCTAAGCGCATTTCTGTAGTAACAGTTAGTTAAAATTGTCTTTAACTAGCCATTTATTTCTTTATTTTTTTTCCGGGGAGATTCTTAATAGCTTGGATCTGATATATTGGTTTTGAAAAGTTATTGAGTTAACTTATTATTGTACTTGTGTTTAGTGTACTACATAAAACTAACATTAATGAGGACCAAAGAGATAGTACTTTAAGTTAAGGCAGTTGCCTTGCATGTGGCCTACTGTGGATTGATCCTTGGCACTACATGTGGTCTCCTGAGCCCTGCCAGGTGTGACCCTGAACACTACAACGTATAGTCCAAACCCCTTCCTCCCTCAAAATCATAATACTTATTTATTATACTTATCAACCCAAGTACTAAATTAGCACATGTATACAGACTAATGTGTGAAATGAAATAATAAACCCAGTACAAGATAAAAATTAAACATGAAGATGAAATTCCATTTAATTCCATGTTTTATATGATATATGTCAGTTTTTCCAGGAAACCCATAAAGTAGAAATGACCCAGTGATACGTTATACAGTTACATGTCTGATTTTGTCCCTTATAACTGGTGCATCTAGGTGTTGTGAGACCAGCTGGGTCTAACTTATTTAAAGGCTCTTTAATCCACTCATGGCTGCTTATTGCTCACATACCTGGATTAAGCAGTTAAACAACTTGTTTGCTCAGATCAGCATAGACCAGGAAAATGTTAATAGCTGAAGTGGCCAAACACTGAGAAGACTATCTTGAACTTTTTGGGACTTTTTATATAAGGATGTACCTAAGAGGAGACATTACAAGATTTTTTCTGACTTTTCTCCATCTATAATTTTAGAAGAAATCAAAGGTGCTATCAAGAGCCAAGGATTTGATATAATATTAAATAAGCTTAAAACTACTAGTTTGTCCGTAAAAATTGTTGAAATCTAGATAATTTATTATAGAAAATTTATTTAGGAATTGATTCACACCCAGTTTATCTGGTAGGTTTGTTTCTTCTCCGTGTTACAAGCACCATTTATTCTACTTAAGTAATGATATTTTAAGAATAAGCCATTTACATTTGTAATTATTAGTAAGTTGTATATTGTAGTTCAGTAAACTGTCACACTATTGGCCTATCTAGATAGAGGTTTTCTTCCAAAACTAAATTGACCTAGTCTAAAATAGAATATTTGGGGCTGGAGCGATAGCACAGAAGATAGGGAATTTACCTTGTATGCAATTGACCAGGGTTCGATTCCCAGCATCCCATATGCTTCGTCCCCCGAGCACGGCCAGGAGTAATTCCTGAGTGCAGAGCCAGGAGGAACCCCTGAGCATCGCCGGGTGTGACCCACAAAGCCAAAAAAATAAATATTTTATTTGTATAATTATTTCAACTTGAGTAGTAAGATGATTTTAATGAAAGGTTTTTATAAAAAATATTAATAATTATCATTTTGGGGGCCAGAGAAGATAATAAAGGGATTAGGGTGCATGGTTTGTCAACTCTGCAGTCAACTCTGCTTTGATTCCCTGGTACCAGTTGGTCCCCCAAGCATTCCTAGGTGGAGTGCTGGGAGCTCCTCAGCATCTTGTGGGTTCCAGGACCAGGACATGACCACATCCTCAGGCCCTAGTATTGATCTGCTGGCCTGGTTGACCAAGAATTGCCAGGAGGGACCCTGGAACCTCTTGAGCACTATTTGGGAGTCTTCCTCACCAATAAAGTATTATCTTGCTAGTAAAAATATACAACTCACCACAAATAAACTTCTGCTTTAAAGGATATGCCTAACTTTAAAGATGCACTTAATAAAAAAAAAGACAAACACCTTAACATGAAAAATCTTTAAATAGTACCTCCATTATGTTTCTTGGATTTTTTTATTTTTATTTTAAGAAATTCCCCCTTTCCTTTCCTTTGTGGCCGTGTTGCATTGAACATGGTCAGCCATGGTGTTCTGGAGCTCTCTGCCTTGTAGTGCCCACACACTTGTTGTGCTCACTGGCCGATGGGTGCTTTACCGGGGCTGCTTGTACATGCTTCTGAGGCCCACGCCTGGGTGCAGTGCTTGTATATCACCATTCCTGGTGCTCACAAGCCACACACATCAGTTGCAGGTCACTCACACTCCCGGCTGTCGTGCACTGTACACTGGGGTCCACAGATGGCAGCCACAGAGGGACAAGCTCTGTGCATGTGATCAGCACTGATGCTCAAATTCCCAGCTTTGTGCTCACCTCCCAGCTTCCTGCTTACAGGGATTTTGGCTACTAACCTATCCCTCAGGACGCTTGAAACATTGTTTTAAGAGAGATTACACATAACACTCTAAATTTTTTACATTGTTGATTCAAAGTCCTCATTTGTTGGATTGAAGAGATAGTACAGAGGTTAAGGCAGTTGACTTGTATGTAGCCAACTCTGGTTGATGCTGTATAGTTCCCCAGTTCCCTCAGCACCTTCAGGAGAGACTCCTGAGCCCAGAGCCAGGAGTAAGCCCTAAGCATTGCTGAATGTGACCCCAAAGCAAAAAACAAAACAATCTTCATTTGTTTGATAAGTGAAATACTCTTTTAAACTAAGGACATCATCTTTTGAGGTAACTGAGCATTAGAATATGACATGTTTTAATTGAACTTTTAATAGTTTTAGTATAATATGTCTAGCATGTTGAAAATATGGATAATTCAACTGGAGAGCATTCTCTTTTCACTCTTGGAAATTTTAGCTGTCCCCCCTTTTTATGCATGAATTAAATATTACAGTCTTTTGTAAAGAAAATTGATATTGATACTAGTTTAAAAAGGAATTTCTTAAGTAGTTGCAGTGGGATTCATTCACATTATAAGGTAGGAAAGAGAATGGAAAGGTTATTTTCCTGCTTTTTCTCTGTTTTCAGCATTTATTTACATGCAGATCTTTAAAGAAGTATGTATTTCTAAGGGCAAACATGTTTTTATTTGGCATTTAGGCTGGTTGCCTTTTTGCCCCCATTAGATTCAAGTAGAATCTCAGTAAGTGTATACCTACCTTCTGTAAGTGCTGTCAAGCAATATAACATGAACTACATAGACATTTTTAATGCTATATTGAAAGGAACAAGATACCTTCAATTTTTGTTTAATTTGTTATATTTAAAATATTTCAGTATTTTATTATAAAGTTACTAAGATAACTTGAACTTTTATTCCATATTAAGCCTTCAGAACCCAATTTGATTTTCTAGTTCTAACCCATGTCGATTTAGACTATCCACATTTCAGGTACCTGGAACCCTCATGTAGCTGGTACATAAACTGTTGTCCAGTGCAGTCCTATAAGGGCATAAAGACTTCATCTGGATGTGCAGATATAAGGAGCTATTTATCTGAGAATTAGATTTCATCATTATGCTAATTAGTCACCAGTATCTAATAATGTGTGCATCTCTATAGATATCAAAGCTAGAATATAAAAGCTAAGCATTTTCATTGGAATAATTACAGACGCTGGAAATAAATATTCAGTAGATGAAACTTTTACTTTTTGATTAATAACTATATCATAAAATTGCATTTATTTTTATTGTATTTATGTGTTCACACTTCCATGAAATTTCAGTGTATGTATGTAACTTGTAGCATAAATGCAGTTCCAACTACAATGAAGATTTTGTACTACAACTAGAAAAGGAACTGGTCCAAGCCCGCTTGAGTGAAGCTGAGTCTCAATGTGCACTAAAGGAGATGCAAGATAAAGTTCTGGATATTGAGAAGGTGAGAACATAAATGCTATCACTCCCAAACTAGAACATGTGGTAGATATTTTTTATTGATCGGTTAGATTAGACTTGCATTTTATTCATTTCTTACTAAGACAAGAAAGTGTGTAAGATCCCCATTTATTATCTGTTGTTAACATACCAATATCTAAGGGTAAAAGTGGATATTCATGCTCTTTTAAAGGAAAGCAACTGGGATAATTTTGATGTTGATAATTGTTTAGTGTTGGAGAAGTGAAGGTCAGTCACTACATCATTTGATTTGTATCAAATATCCAAAATAGTCAGGTATCCAGAGATAAAGAGTTGCTTAAATGGCCTTCATGGTGGTCCAGAGCAGTGGTATAGTGTGTAGGGCTCTTGCCTTGCACGTGACTGACCCTGGTTCAATCACCCGCACCCCATATGGTCCCCCAAGCCATCCAGAAGTGATTCCTGAGCGCAGACCCAAGACTGCCGGATGTGGCCCCAAAACAAAACAAAAATGGTTCTCATGAACTCAAGGGTTTCTTTTTGGAGTGATTCTAATGCTCTGGAAGGAGATCATGATGATGAATTACATCTTCATGCACAATTGAGTAAAAGGATAAGGTTTTTTTGTTTGTGAATTATATTTCATTAGAACTTCATAAAATTAAGTGTCAGTATACCTCAGACAACATAGCTCTATGTTTGCTACATTTTATTTTATTAAAAATCCCAAATAAAATGTTCTTTTACTTTAGAGGAACAATTCTTTTCCTGACGAGAATAACATTGCAAGGCTTCAGGAAGAACTCATTGCTGTGAAACTGAGAGAAGCAGAAGCTATTATGGGCTTGAAAGAACTAAGACAGCAAGTCAAGGATTTAGAGGAACACTGGCAGGTACATCAATATATTCTGTGTGCCTTTGCTAAAGACAGGAAAGGGGCTGGGGATTTTGTTCAGTGGTAAAGTACAGGCTTCATATGTGAGTTCTTAGGTTGAATCTGAAGTGCAGTGTTGGGGAAAGGAGGGGTAAATCTGAATATCCAGTTTGTATGAGTTTAAAGGAGCTGCTGACCAAAACTAGGTTTTGAGTTTAAAGTAATGCTGATCACTGTAACAAATAATCATGAACAGCTCTGTAAACCACAGTGTTTATATGGATGTGTAAGGGGAAAACAAAATTTAAATTGTAAAATAAAGTGATGCTGATCTTCAAAGGTAAAACACCACTGACCAACCAAGTGGAAGCAAAGATAAACAAATGGGACTACATTAAGAAGTTTTGCACTTCAAAAGAAACCATGTCCAAGATACAAAGACAGCCCACAGAGTGGGAAAAACTACCCAAAACCCATCTGATAAGGTGTTCAAGATACTTCAAGATATATAAGGCTCTGGTAGAACTGTACAAGAAAAAAACTTCCAATACCATCAAAAAATGGGGAGAAGAAATGAACAGAAATTTCCTCAAAGAAAAATTCAAATCTCCAAAAGGCACATGAAAAAATGCTTTACATCACTAATCATCAGGTAGATGCAAAGCAAACCAACAACGAGATATCATCTCACACCATAGAGACTGGCACATATCAAAAAAAACCCCAAAAAACAAGAATAACCAATGTTGGTGCAAATGTGAGAAGCAAGGGACTCCCCTTCATTGTTGGTGGGAATGCAGATTGGTCTAGCCTTTTTGGAAAAAAATATGGACATTACTCAGAAAGCTAGACATTGAGCTCCCCTTTGACCCACTGATACTACTTCTAGGAATATACCCTGGGGACCCAAAGACATAGCAGAAACGCCATTTGCACTTTTATGTTCATTGCAACACTATTCACAATAGCTAGAATCTGGAAACCTGAGTGCCAAGAACAGACAACTGGATAAAGAAATATCGTGCAGCTACAGAATGGAATACTACACAGCCACAAGGAAAAATGAAGTCATGAAATTTGCTTATAAACGAATAGACATGGAGAGTATCAAGCTTAATGAAATGATGCAGAAGAATAAGGACAGACAGGAGATTGTACTCATTTGTGGGATATAAAAAAAACCCCACAGTATGAGACTAATATCCAATGACAGAGGAAACAGGGGCCAGGAAGACTGGTCAACTTGCCAACTGGTGTAAGCTTGCCACAAGTGTGTGTGTGTGGCAGAGAGCAGTTAGTATAGAGAAGGGACTACTATGACAATAATAGTTGGAAATTATCAGTCTGGATAAGAAAATGAGTGCTGAAAGAAGGTTAACTTCTCAGTACCTGTATTTCAAACCATAATACCCAGAAGGAGAGAGAGAAGAAAAGTGTGGGGATTGGGGTGAGGTGGAGAGGAGGGAAACTGGGGACACTGATGGTGGGAAATGTACACTGGTGAAGGGATGGATGTTGGAACATTATATGACTGAAACCCAGTTACAACAACTTTGTAACGATCTCATGGTGAATCAATTTTAAAAAATCTTAACACAAAAAATAAAGTGATGCTGAGTTTATACATAAAATGGAACACATTTACCCAGGTATGTGGGACCCGTGACTGAACTCCAAGCTTTCTCTGAATGGTATTAGACCTCCTCACTCCAGCTCCCCAGTTTTCCAGTAGCTTGGCAGTCATGCCCACAAACTGCTTCCGGTGTATTATAATCTCATCAATGGCCAACATCCAGAAACTATAAAATAAAGTTCCCAGAAGAGAGTGACACAGAAAATCCTGGAGCGCGCAACCTCTGATACTCTAGCCCACGGATGTACCAAAAGTAGCACACATGTGTTTGGGTTTAACATACATGCTTGTAATCACTTATACAGGTTCCAGGATGAAATACAACAATCTTCACACACTTTCCCCTTACAGTGGTAGGAAGGTGCATGGTGGTGGGATTGGTGTTTGAATATTAACTGTGTTTGAACAACTTTATAAAAATAGAAGAAAAAAATGGAGCGCATTTATAAATCAAAAGTAGTTTCAAATTGTTTCTCCCTCTTTACATTCTTATGATTTTCAAGAATATAGAAGGGATTGAGTCATATTTTTGTTGCAATATTTTTGTTGCTATGTACTATATCATCCTCAGTGTGAAAAGATTGAAAAAAAATAAAAACAATGTGAAAAATCTCTTGGAAGTATTGGGGTAAAAATTGTATTCTTAGAAATAGTTAATTAATCCACTAGGCTGGAGCGATAGCACAGCGGTAGGGCGTTCGCCTTACAAGCGGCCAACATGGCCGACCCGAGTTCGATTCCTCCGCCCCTCTCGGAGAGCCTGGCAAGCTACCGAGAGTATTCGATATGCCAGACACAGTAACAACAAAGTCTCCATTGGAGACGTTACTGGGCCCGCTCAAGCAATCCACTAGGATTTACAAGACTTGAATCATACACAGGCCAGAGTGATAATACAGTGGGTAGGGCATTTGCCTTATATGCAACCGACTCCGGGTTCAGCCTCCCACATTCCATATGTTTCCCCGAGGTCTGCCAGGACTAGTTCCTGAGCACAGAATCAGGAGTAACCACTGAGCTGGGTATGACCCAAAACACCAAAAAATAAAAAAAAAATTAAAAGACTTAAGTCTTGATTTGTATCCCAATTTTGCCACTTATTGGCTATGTAACCTTTGTAGAGTTACTTAACTCCAATGTTTTTACTTATGTAATAAAGGTAATAGTCCTTAACTTTTGGAGCCAAAGAGATAGCTCAGAGAGTTAATTGCACACGCTTTGCTTGCAAGAGACCGAGGTTCAGTTCCCAGCCTTGTATGATTCTTCCATACAAGTTCATACTTGGATGTGACCCAAAAACAAGCCAAAAATGTAGTGTTGCTGTGGTTTTCTGAGTCATAAAATATAAAGTGATTAATATAATTTAATAAATATAGTGAACCTGTAATTTATACCCGAAGAAGTCTGACCATCTTGTAGGTGGGCGTCCTCGTGATCTTTTGATGTCCCGTGGAATCCAGTCAGTAATGGCTCTAGTCCAGCGGTTGTCTGTAAACCTCATTACATGTCCAGTCCATCTGATTTTTGATGTCTTGGCAAATGAGACAGCGTCCCTGATTCTTGAGCGTTGACGAAGATCAGAACTCCGGATTCTATCTCTCATTTGAGTGAATCGTGATATTCCAAGCATAGTTCTTTCGATTCTCTTTGAGAGACCCGAATAGCGTTCTCATCCCGTTTTCGTAGGGTCCAGGTCTCTGAGGCATATGTTAATGCAGGAAGAACAGTGGAATCAAAGAGATGTGCTTGTAGCTGGAGGTACTTTGTCCTTTTAGTTATTTCTTCAATGCTCTTGAAGGCATTCCAAGCCTCTCTCTTCCTCCTGTGCAATTCAGGTGCCAGGTCATTCATCATGTTGATTTCTCGACCTAGGTATATATAACTGTTGCATTCGGAGATGGTGGTTCCGTTGAGAGCGAATGGAGCGTCAGGAATAAGGCTGTTTCTCATAAACATTGTCTTCGTAAGATTCAGCTGTAGTCCGACCTTTCCACATTCACGGTCAAAGTCGTTCAGCATTTGTGCTGCTTGGCTGATGTTTGGTGTTAAAAGTGGAGGTGGTGTAGTTGCCGACCATCTATCTTCACTCCCATGTTTTCCCATTCCAGTCGTCGCATGATGTTCTCGAGGGTGGCACTGAAGAGTTTTGGTGAAATGGTATCACCCTGCCGAACCCCTCTCTTGATATGGATTACTTCTTTGTAGAATGGTGAGATCTTGGTAGTGAATCCGCAATAGAGCTCACGAAGGATACTGATGCATTGAGTTTGTATGCCCTGATTGGCTAGGGCTTCCATGACCGCTTCCGTCTCAACAGAATCAAAGGCCTTCTTTAAATCAATGAACGTTAGACAGAGCGGCATCTTGAACTCCCGAGAAACCTCAATGAGTTTAGTAATCGTGTGGATATGGTCGATGGTACTGAATCCTTTTCGGAATCCAGCTTGTTCACATGGTTGTCCTTCATCTAGTGTTCTGCTAATCCTATTCAGGATGACTCGAGTGAATAGTTTGTAGATGACAGACAATAGGCAGATTGGGCGATAGTTGCCAATGTTGTGGATGTCTCCTTTCTTGTATAGTAGTACAGTCCTGCTGGTTTTCCATTGGGATGGAACCTTGCATTCAGACAGGTAGCGTGTGAAGAGTCGAGCCAATGTATTGATGAGTATTGATGGTAAGTTCTTCAGGTGTTCAGGTCTGATCTTGTCTGGGCCAGGTCTTGTCAAGACCCTAAATGATCGGTTTGAGGCTCTGCATGTTCCTAGAACGAACAGATACCATTGGGCTACGCTAGCACACAACCGGGATGAATGGAGACGTTACTGGCACCCGCTCGAATAAATCGATGAATAACGGGGATTAAGTGATTAAGTGATAATTTATACCCAATAAAACTAGCTCTTATCTTGATACTGGGGATATATATTGCAATTTAATTTTGTGTGTTTTAGCGCCACTTGGCTCGTACTTCTGGCAGATGGAAAGACCCACCCAAAAAAAATGCTGTGAATGAATTACAAGATGAACTGATGACCATTCGGCTTCGAGAAGCTGAAACACAGGCAGAAATAAAAGAAATAAAACAAAGGATGATGGAAATGGAAACACAGGTATGATGGAAAGCCTAATAGCTTTAAATTGTATTAGCAGATTAAAAGTTTATGTACTTATGGTGTCATTCTTTTTTTTTAATAATTTAAAAAAATTTTTTAATTTTATTTCATTTTTTAAATTTATATATATTTTTTTATTAGTGGAACACCATGAGGTACAGTTATAGACTTACAAATTTTTGTGCTTGGGTTTCAGTTATACAGTGATCAAGTACCCATCCCTTCACCAGTTCCCATCCTCCACCACCACAGGTCCCAGCATCCCTCCCACCCCCATCCCCCATCCCCCCCCCCCCCCCCCCCCCGCCTCTGTGGCAGGGCATTTCCTTTTGTTCTCTCTCTCTCCTTTTGGGTTCTGTGGTTTGCAAGAGAGGCATTGAGTGGCAGTCATGTTTGGTCTGTAGTCTACTTTCAGCATGCTTCTCCCATCCTGGGAGGATTCTTCCAACACCCTTTATTTGGTGCTCCCTTCTCTATCTGAGCTTCCTTTTCCCCTAGCACGTGTGGCTGGCCTCCAAGTCATGGAGCAAAATTCCTGGTACTAGACTCCACCACTCCTGGGTGTTAGTCTCCCATTATGTTACTTTATGTTCCCCAGAAGAATGCAATGTTTCTATGTCTATCCTGCTCTTTCTGACTCATTTCGCTTAACATGATACTTTCCTTGTAGTACCACTTGTATGTAAATTTCATGACTTCATCTTTTCTGACAGCTACATAGTACTCCATTGTGTAGATATACCAAAGTTTCTTTAACCAGTCATCTGTTCTCGGGCACTCAGGTTTTTTCCAGATTCTGGCTATTGTAAAGAGTGCTGTAATGAACAAACAAGTGCAGATGTCATGTCGACTATACATTTTTTCCTCTCTGGGATATATTCCCAGGAGTGTTATTGTTTCTTACGGTACACCTAAAAGGTGAAATTGTCTACACTTATTATCTAGTCCCAATGAAAAGAGCTAAAAATGCTATTCCTTGATATGAGAAGTTGAATGTATTTTTTGACCCATTTAACAGAGTTTTAAAGCAAGTCTAAAAATTTAGTTGACTTTGTTGCTTTGTACAGTTTGGAAAGGAATATTCACATAAAGCAAAATTTCTCTACCTTGATCCAAAATTATTGACATTTGAATCAGATATTTTTTGTGGGTGCAATTCCATGCTTTACAGCTTATTTCCCAACCTTTTCTAATCATAGAAAACTGTTTCCAACCATGTTTCCTTCTTGTGGACCCTATTTATGTGATTTTAACCTATGGTTTCTTGAAATATTCTGGGGACCCACAGGGTGTCATATGGCTCCTGCTTGAGAAATGTATACAGTATGTTTAATGCCGTTTCTTGCTTCCACCCACTTCATGACAATAGCATCACCCCAAGCCACTCCAGATTGTTATGACCAAGAGTCCTCCAACATTACCAGCTGTCCCCTGGGGGAATAGAGATGCTCCTGGTTGAGAACTGCTGGTGTAGAATATAGTATTATCTGTGAAATATGGTGATTGTAAGCAGTCAGTCACAGAATTAAACTAATTTCTTCTCAGTTCCTCCCCTTTTCTCTAATAAATTATCTTCAATGTACTTAAGGTCTACAATTTTTTTTTCTTTATGGGTCACACCCAGTGATGCTCAAGGGTTACTCCTGGCTCATGCACTCAGGAATTACTCCTGGCGGTGCTCAGAGGACTATATGGGATGCTGGGAATCAAACCTGTGTTGGCCACATGCAAGGCAAATGCCCTACCCACAATGCTGTCGCTCCAGCCCCCTACAAAATTTTATTTTTATAGATTCATTTATGTTATAAAATACATTTGGTTCTTATGTGATACATTTGCATAGACCATATTATCTGTAATGTGATTTGGTTTTTAAAATAGTCAGTAGGGGGCAGAGTGAGCTCATGTGTCATTCTATATACCTGTGTGCAGCGTGATTCTATCAGAGTAAACACAGTAACAAGGACAGCTAAAGTCTTTAAAATGAATGCAGTGCTCAGGACTTAATTTCTTACCTCCATGTTCAGGGATCACTCCTGGCAGTGCCTGGGTAACTGTAAGTGGATCTGGAACAGAACCCGGGTCTGCTGCTACCTTACCCACTATACTTTCTCTCCTACTGTGAATTCTGGTCTTTTTCACTTTCTTTTCCCCAATATTTAGTCACTTTTTGTCAGAAACGATATGAACCAGAAATATTGCATTCCCCCCCCCCCACCTCCCCGGATATGGTGTTTTCATTTCTCTGCCTTCAAGATTTTTCTCTTTTAGTGGTCTAAATATAATATTATTTGGGGTTTTTTTTCTTTTTTTTTTTTCCTGTTAAATTCTTGGGCCACATGATATTTGTATCTGCCATAAAGTTTGGAGAATTCTTTGTCATTATTTCTTTCAGTATTTTCTCTTTATTCTCTTCTCCTGAGGTTTCCAGTGACACATATATTAAATTGTTTGAGATTGTCCAGCAATTTTCTTTGTTCTGTTTTGGGGCCACACCCAGCAAAGTTTAGGGTTATTCATGGCACTGCACTCAGGAATCATTCCTGGCAGTTGCATGGGGTACCATGCAGGATGCTGGGGGTTGAACCTGATTCAGTTGCATGCAAGGTAAGTGCCTTACCAGCTATACCATCTCTCCAACCACTGTTCAGCAAGTTTTAAATGATCTTTATTCCCTGTCAGTATTTTTCTCTTTCCGTTTTATTTGCTATTAACTGAAATATTTCTGTTTATCTTTTCCTTCATTATTTGGGTCATCTGATAAGCTATTAAAGACATTTTTCACATTCATTGAGTTTGTTTCTGGTATTTTTGTTTGATTCTTATAGCTTTAATTTCTGTGCTGTTACCTATATGACCTTGCTTGTTTTCCACCTCTCTGTTAGCATATTAATCACAGCTCTTTAAACTGCCCTCCCAGGTAATTTCAGTATCAGTATTCTGTATGAGACTGTTGACTGCTTTCTTGGTAGTGTTTTGCTTTTTTCTCATCTGTTTTGGGGAGGCGGGGGAGGTTGAAAACTGATTCTCCTGTGTAGGACAGTAGACTAAGGTGAACAGTTTTTATGACTGAAAATGGGCACACCTTTCTTTCTGCTAGGCCTTTAATGTGGGGGATTTGAGTTAATATGGTCAGGACTTGGGCTGGGTTTGAGGTTTGTTGTTTCTGTGGTTACCCTCATTGCACCACAGTCTTCAAATTCCTCTAGTAAGATCTTATTTTTAGAATAGAGGCTGGTTTGCCAAGGGCTTCTTGATGTCTTTAGGTTTTCTCTCTGCACAGCACTTTACAAAGGCCTGGTCTGCAGCAGTTTTCAATGGTTGCTTGTTAAAAGGGCTTGGAGGGGCAGAGGTGTTTCTTACTGTTCTGCACAGCCTCTGTTTGGGGCTGCACTGTGTGCTTGGACCTGGGCTGTTGGATGTGCTGAAGGCTCCTCCATGCCCAGCTGCAGTCCCAGACACAATATGTTCTACTGCACATCCTCAGAAGCAGGGAGTGGTTGCCCCTTTGCCCCTCAGGCAACACTGTTGATTTGCTGCAGAAGAGTAAGCCTTGGATCCCCCAGAAGACTCAGACAAGACTTAGTGACCATCTTACTTTTTTTTTTTTTAATTAATTTATTTATTGAATCACTGTGGGAAAAGTTACAAAGCTTTCAGGTTTAAGTCTCAGTCATGCAATTATCAAACACATTTCCCTTTACCAATACTTATTTTTCACCACGAAGAACCCCAATAACCCCCCCTACACACATCCCAACCCTCCCAATGCATGTGAGGCAGATGAATTCTAGTTAACACTCTGTCAACTTTGACTAGATTCATTGTTTCGACAAAAGATGCTCCATTATTATTTAGAGTTTACACCCCCAAATCAGACATGCTGAAAAGACATTTTGAAATAATTTGTTTTCTACAGATGGTCACAAGAATCAAACGATTTTGGATTTCTGGTATTTTACTTATTAACCCTGGAAGTATTTCTGTTGAGGGTCAGATAGTTATGAGATTGGTTTCTGTGCTCTGGAGCAATGGCCGTGCTGGAGAGCCGCTCGTGGGGGGCAACTCGTGACCTCGGTAGGGCGTGAAGGATGAGCCGGGAACGCCCCCCTTCCCATGAGGTTTCAGTCACCCCGTCACGACCGGCTCATACCTGGCTTTCCACAGAGCTCCCAACCGGCTGCCATCTTTCTTTCCAGAGGGAAAAAGGCGGAAGGGACCAACACCCTTTCCCCTCTGGGCAGGCATGGTGACGTGGATTAAGGCATAGTCCATTCACTTTTCTGCTGCAAGCTACTGGGCTCTACTTTAAGTCCTTGTGCTTCTGGAGCCATGGCCGTGCCGCAGAGCCACTCGTGGGGGTCAACTCGTCACCTCGGTAGGGCGTCAGTTTGTGCTATGGACATCTCTTAAGATATTTCATCCTTTTTTCCCCTAATTGTGGCCTGATAAGAAAAAAATTGCAGTTTATTGTGTGCAAGTGTGTAAGAATTCTGCTGCCCCCTTGGGTTCCACACACTCTAGTGAACCCACATATAAATAAATATCACCTGATATTTATTCTGGCTAAGTCATTCTTAATGGTTTCTGGTTAGGTCTTTCCCAAAGTAGGTAAATAGAATGCTCTGGGTCGGGGGTGGGAGGGGCTGTTGAAGCAGTTGGGGGGATTGGAGTAGCTGGTGCTGGGGATTGAACCAGGGTCACTTCTATATGCAGTACAAGTAACCATTGTCCTTTGTTATCCCTCTCACCCCTAGAAAGGTCTTGGGTGTTTGTTTGTTTGTTTAAGTTAAAATCCCAAACAGAGTCATTTTCAAGGAGTGCAGACATGATCTGGGTAGAATAGGTGTAATAGTAGTAGCAATGGAGCATTCATTAACTTGCTGATTAATTTTAGGAGTTGTGTAAGATTTCTTTCATACACTTTCCACATTGCATTCTCACAGCAAGGTCTTTAATTGAAATTTGATAGGGCTCAGTAATTGAACCAAAATAGAGAAAGCTGTTGGATGAAGAGCTACATTTTACCTATCTTTGATTATAGAAGTTTCTACTTTTTCTCCCAGATCACTACTACATTAATTTGATGCTGAGAGAATTCATTGGTTGTGTCAAACTTGAGCAGAGAAACTACTTCCTGTTAGTTCCAATCTGTATTTATTTAGCGCATACTGTACAATAATTCACTATATAATGAGCATGTTTCATCTCCATATATGTTAAGCCCTAATAATATATTAATTTGAAGAAAACCAAATAAGAAATAAGTTGTGTTTTATAGATATTTTAAATATATATATATAACTCAAAGATATTAACTAGTTTATTCAACAAATTGAAAACTAGGTCAAACTTTACAAAAATAGATCATACTATACATGGTAGATAGACATGAGCTCAACAGTCACAAGCTTTCTTTTGGGAATGAGGAAGGGGAGTTCAATTTGTCATATTCTCACATGTGCCCACTCTATGCCACATTATCTGCTTCTTAACTCAGTACTTTAAGCCCTGTGTAAACATCCTTAGAGTTAATATTCATTGTCTAAGTAGTAAATTGCACTATAATAAAAGTTTTTAATAATTTGGAGTTTATAGACTAGGTTTTAAAGAAAATTGTGTAGCTTTTTTTTTTTTAGTAATACTGCTTAAAGTTGACCTACCTTAGTAGTTAATTGACTAGTATTAACATTTTTTAATGTTGAAATATAAAATGAGTCTGTAGAAATTTGGTGGGTATTTTTTCAGGTCTTTTAACCTGTTGTCTGAATGTGTTTGTCTTTATTCTTAGAACCAGATCAATAGTAACCATCTTCGAAGAGCAGAACAAGAAGTTGTCAGTCTGCAGGAGAAAGTACAGTATCTTTCCGCACAGAACAAAGGGCTGCTTACTCAGTTAAGTGAAGCAAAGCGAAAACAAGCAGAGATTGAATGCAAGGTAAATAGGTCAACTGACCAGTTTATGTTTTTATCACTATACTCTGTAAAATCATGTCTTTTTTTGTTTGTTTTATCTTGTTATTGATTAGATTAGCTTAAGGCCAAATTTAGAGAAATAGACTTGTTTCCATCTTTTCCTAAACTTGATTTGGTGGTTGCTTTCAGTTCAGATTCAGTTCAGTTCTCTTCAGTTCAGATTTCAATTCTGCTCTGGGATGGATTTTTGGCAAGTAACCTCATTTTCATCCATTGGTTAAAGGTGTAGGTAATTAAGTTTAAGTCATCCACATTGTTGAAAATTGGTATCTCTTTATATGTTTCTTTTGACCTGTAGCCATTTAAAATCAAAGCCTTTAATGCCTCAGCCAAAAAAGACAGGTTATTTGAGAAAAGATAGGTCAAAATTGATTGGTACCTTATTTGTGGCAAGTTGGCATTGTTATATGTTTTCTAGCTAGAGTGGGGAATAAAAGAACTGTGTGTTTTCTAATTCTGGATTAGGAAATTAGTATATCCATTTCCGTTATTGGTTTAATCAATTTTTCTGTTTTTGTTTAGAAGTGTCTAGAATTCACAAAACATGAAAAGCATTTGGACACAAATTTATTTTTGCCCAGAAATAAATTTGTAGTATAAGCAAAGCAGTAGTGGGGGAGGAGAGGAGTATAAAGTGGGTGATGTTTGTATAAAATAGCAAATGACTTTTGACTGAGCATTAAAATGGATTACTGAGGACGAGAGTAGGATTTTAAAAGTAAATTAGACCGACATCTTTCCATGTTGAGAGAATAGAAGTGGAATCTTTTAAAGATTCCAGCCGAATTGTTCAATGATAAGAAATAAGACTTTCAATGGCACATATAAAGCTGTAATTCCATCAACTTGTTCTGGTGTCATTATAAACCAAGAGTGAGGCTTGAGTGGTTTATCAGTGTCACTGAAATCCAGAGATGAAATTACATCCTAATAAATATGCATGGCTGTTACAATTTACACTGACAGAAATCTGTAGGCAGTACTAAAATTTGTACTGACTCAGGAGTAGTTCCTCTTGAAGGAATATGACTGCACTTATTTAAAACTAAAATAATGTAACATGATATATTATTTTTATTTGTTCTACCAATATCTGATTGAGTTTTTATGATGTTGAGTTGTCTGTTGGAACTATTTTTTAATAAAGAACTCAGTTTAATAATTTTTTAGTTATTGGTGTAAGTTTTTCTTAACTTACATTGATAACATTGTTATTTTATTTACCATTGGTCCTGAAAAACCATAGTACCATTTAAGTCAGTTAAAGTATTTTATGGGAAGTGAATATTTGAGGAGTTCGCTGATGAAAATAATTACTTTTTTTGTATTTGATGAATGAGTTCAGAGTGTGAATTTTAGAAAATTTTAAGAACTGATATGAAATTCAATTTTTATTATTTATTAGTGTCATTGTGAAGTGTGTTACAGATGCTGACTGTGATATCACCCCATACTTGTTATATTGATTTATTAAATCTTAGACTGTGTTTTGCAGATTTTAAGAATAATTAGAGAGTTTGTCACCTTAGGAATTAAATATAATGATTAAATAGCTGTTACACTGGAACAAACTTCACTTTGTTAGGAGAGCTAGCCCTTCATTTGTATAAGCCTGATTCATATTTTGGGGCTAGGGAGATAGTACAAAGGTTAAGGTGCTTGCCTAGCATGCGGCTGCGGCTGTGACCTAGTTTGAATTTCAGCACCGCATATGGTTCCCCTCAGCACAAAGCCAGGTGTGGCCCACACCCCAGACCCTCCCCACCAAATATGTTTTTTCGTTTCGTTTTGTTGGTTTTTTTTTTTTTTTCAGATTTCATGAGCTGTATGTTACTGTCGTTTATAATTAGATTTGCTACTCTTTCGTTTATATAAAACGTTAGGGTTCTGTTTCATTGTTAACATTATTTTCCAACTACAACTAAATCTATTTGCACTCAAAAAAATAGTAAAAATTTTGCTGTTTTTTAAAAAGTAGTCTAAAAGCCTATAATCCTCAACAGAAAATTTAAACTGTCTGAAATCCAAATTTTTTTATACTAAATTTCACACAAATTTAAAAGTAAAACATCAGGGACCAGAGTAATAGTACAGCGGGTAGGTTATTTGCCTTGTATGCAACCGACTTGGATTTGATCCCTGGCATCCCACAAGATCCCCCGAACCTGCCAGTAGTTCTTGAGTGCAGAATCAGGAGTAATCCCTGAGCATTGCTGGATGTAACCCAAACCTAAAAAAATAAAAGTAAAACCTGATTTTAATTGACACATAGCTACTTAAAGTTTTTATTTATCCATCTTAGGTATGGATATTTAAAATTAACTGCCTCATTATGTTGAGCATTTGAATTGTTTTATTATGAATGATTCCTTTTTTTTTAATTGAATTACTGTGAGATACAATTACAAAGCTTTCATGTTCGAGTTTCAGTCATACAATGATCAAACACCCATCCCTCCGCCGGTACACATTCTCCACCACCAGTGTCCCCAGTATAACTCTCTTTCCAGCCCTCCCCCTGCCTCCATGGCAGACAGTTTCCCCCGTACTCTCTCTTAACTTTTGGGCATTATGGTTTGCAATATAGATACTGAGAGGTTATCACGTTTGGTCCTTTACTACTTTCAGCACACATCTCCCATCCCGAATGATTCCTTCAACCATTATTGTCTTCGTGATCCCTTCTCTATTCCACCTGCCTTCTCCCCCAGCTCATGAGATAGGCTTCTAACTATGGTGCCATATTCCTGGCCCTTGTGTCTACTGTCCTTGGGTGTCAGTTGCATATTACATTATTTTATATAAATGCATCCTTATGTCCTGCTATAGTTTATGTATTTTATTAAATTTTCTAAAATCTATAATACCTGAAATTCCAAATATGCCTGTCCCCAAGTTAGTAGATTTTAGAATTTCCTATGTAAATCTAAAGGTGAAAATTATAAGACAAAATTTTATATTCTCCAGTTTGTTAGAGAAATATATATTCATAAGAAAAGATACATTAGTTCACAAACTTGGAAAATTGTTGAAGAAATAATATTAAGTTCAGAAAGTGAGTTAAAGGATTTTACTATGATTAGCCCGGCAAGCTACCGAGAGTATTCGATATGCCAGACACAGTAACAACAAAGTCTCCAATGGAGACGTTACTGGGCCCGCTCGAGCAAATCGACGATCAACGGGAGGGCCTTTACCTTTACCTTTATGATGTATGTTTGTAAAATAATGACGAAGAAAAATTGCTTATCATTAAATGTAATAGCGAGACACATGATTTGCTATAAAGTTTATATTTTTTTAACTGAATACAAATGAAAGCATTGTTCACACCCTTGTTCCCTTTATCTCACTGCCTTCCTCACCATACCACTTACTTGATTTATTTTTCTTGATTTTTTTCTGTTATTTTATGATACATCCTTTTAAAGCTTCTTTTAGATTGTTACAAGTAATAAAAATATTTCTTACATAAAAATCAGCATAGACTAACATGTTCCATCTTTTTCTTTCCATTTTGAGGAGACAGAGACCTCTCAAGCAACACTCAGGGAATCTGGAGGCCACTCCCAATGATACTTGGCCCATCAGTCCAAGGGTTTCAGCGCTCGGGCCAGTGATACAGTGCTTCTTGTGCCCCACAGTGCTCTGGGCTACCCAGTGATGTTCAGGGAGCCCAATGGTGGCAGGGCCTTGTACATGCTAGACAGTATTTTGTCACTTGAGTTACCTCCTTGGCCCTGTAATTTTATTATTAAAAATAAAGTTTGTTTTGTTGTTGTAGAGCTACTCCCAACTCACTGCTCATACACTATATGGTTGCCAGAGACTGGACCTGTGAGTCCTGCATAAAAAGCATGCACTTCTCAGCTGTTCTGCTCTCCAACCTGTTGTGGTTGGGGGAGTTTGGAGTGGTGGGTTTAGGCTACACCTAGCTTTGCTCAGGGGTTACTTCCAGTTTTATACTTAAGAATCGATCTGGGCAAGCTTCGGGACAATATGAAATGCCAGGGATAGAACCTGGGTCAGCCATGTGCAAGGTAGACTCCCTCCCTGCTGTACACTCTCTCTCTCTCTCTCTCTCTCTCTGGTCCCTGTAATTGTTTTTAAGTGACTACACATGTCATTGTGTGTGGAGATGGGTTTGAAGTCGAGTTGGAGAGACTTTGGAGAGGGAGGGGCTGTTCTCAGTAGTGCCAGGGCATATTTTCACTGCATTGCTCAGGGATTACTCCAACCAGTGCTTGGGATCCAGTGGTGCTGAGGATTGAACCTGGGGATCCCACATGCAGAGCCTGCACTAGCAGCCCTTTGAGTGCTCTCCCTAGCCCCTGTACAGAAATTTGATGTGAGATTTTCAGTATAGCCTTTTAACTCTCTCTCTAATCCCTGTAGAGAGGTTTGATATGAGATTTTTAGTCCAGAGCTGCTGTGTGGGCTTAGGTATTGTCAATGGAATGAAAGAGAAGTGGAATAGATTTCAGATCTATTTTTGTACAGAACTAGCAAGAGTTGAATATTAGATTGGAGAGTGGGGAAGACTAGGGCTTGGGTTTTTAACTTGATTAATAGGTAATGTTAACTGTAATTAATCGAATACAAACATATTTTTTATCTATTGTTATTTAACAAATTACTTCTAGAACATTGGCCTAACTTAGCAATAAACGTCAATAACCAGAGGCTATTTCAGTGGATCAGGAGTTCAGAAACAGCTTAGCCAGCTGAGTGTGTTCAACTCTTGCATGATGGCTGTCACCTTAAGGCTTAATTGAAGCTTAAGGTTAAATTTTTTAGATTTTTCAAGTTTGTGCAGTTGTGTATATGTGTGAGAGAGAGAGAAAGAGAGAGAGAGAGGGAGGGAGGGAGGGAGAGAGGGAGGGAGAGAAAGGGAGAGATCACTGTCCTCAAGGGACTTTCTTTTAAAGATGGATACAAATAGAAAAGTACAGTTACAAAGCTGTATTAGTGATGCTGTATGATTTAGGAGGTATATTGAAAGTTTCTTGTATTCTTGTCAAAATGGAGGCCATGACCCCATATGGAGTCCTGTAATTGTATTGCAAAATAATCTTAAAGATTTGCCTTAGGGGCCAGTAGATAATCCAGTGTTGAGGCATGTGCCCAACCTGGGTTTGATTCCCAGTACTACATGGTCCTCTGAGCATCACTGGGTTTACCTTGGAGGCCCCCAGCAATGCCAGGGCGGCACCACAGGGCCCAAACAGCATCTCATGCTTGGACCCCTGCATTCAGCAACCAGAGCAGTTGGCTCAGAATCAGGAGTGGGGCCCCTAGGCCTCCTGAACACTACTGGGAGGCATCCCCCTCATTAGAGAAAGTTTCTGGGAGCAGTAATGGAGCACATAGGACATTTGCCTTGCATGTGACAGGCCCGGGTTCCGTTCCTGGCACCCAGTATAGGCCCCTGAACCCACCAGGAGTAATTGCTGAGTGTGGATTCAGTAGTAAATTCTGAGCACTGCTGGGTGTGCCGGCCGCCCCTCCCCCCCCCAAAAAATGTTTCATGATTTGGTTTTATCGTGTGGCTTATTTCTGGCTTCTTTTGCCTGCCAATCTAGAACAAGGAAGAAGTGATGGCTGTAAGGCTCCGGGAAGCAGACAGCATTGCTGCCGTGGCAGAACTGCAACAGCATATCGCTGAGCTTGAAATCCAGGTAATGTAAAAACAACAACAACAACAACAACAAAAAAAAACCAGCCACATTTTTGTTAGAGGAATGCACAGATTCCCTTTCCAATTGTACCTGAGCACTGACTTCTGTCTTCATCTTAATGGCTGATTTTATGTTCAATGATCATTCGGTGTTGGTTTATTTATTTATTTATTTATTGAATCGCTGTGGGAAAAGTTACAAAGCTTTCAGGTTTAGGTCTCGGTCATGCAAATATCAAACACATTTCCCTTTACCAATACTTATTTTTCACCACGAAGAACCCCAGTAAACCCCCACTCCCCACCCCCCCCCCAATGCCTGTGGGGCAGATGAATTCTAGTTAACACTCTATCCACTTTGACTAGCTTCATTGTTTCGATAAAAGTTACACCATTATTATTTAGACTTTACCCCCCCCACCCCCAAATCAGCCATGCTGAAAAAGCATTGTGAAATGATTTTCTTTCTACAGCTGGGTTCAAGAATTAAATGTTGTCGCGCGGTTTTGGATTTCTGCTATTTTACTTATTAACCCTGGAAGTATTTCTACTAAAAGTCAGATAATTAAGAGATTGGTTTCTGTGCTCTGGAGTCGAGAGCCGCTCGTGGGGGGCAACTGGTGACCTCGGTAGGGCATGAAGGACGGGCCAGAACGGCCCCTCCCCCATGAAGTTTCAGTTGCGCTCCCACCCCCAGCTCAGACCTGCTCTCCACAAGGCTCCTGTGCGGCCGCCATCTTTCTTTCCAGAGAGGAGAGGGCGAATGGGGCAACACCCTTTCCCCTCCGGGCAGGCATGATGGTGCGGATTAACGCATAGTCAGTTCGCTTTTCTGCTCCAAGCTGCTGGTTTTCTGCATTAAGTCCTTGTGCTTCTGGGGCCGTGGCCGTGCTGGAGAGCCGCTTATGGGGGGCAACTGGTGACCTCGGTAGGGTGTGAAGGACAGGCCGGAACGCCCCCGGTCCCATGAGGTTTCAGTCCCCCCCCCCCATACCTGCTCTCCACAATGCTCCCATGTGGCCGCCATCTTTCTTTTTGTTCTTGTTTTTTTTTTAATGTGGTAAAATACACATAAAATTTGCCATTTCAAAATAAGACATTAAGTACATTCACATTGCTGTGAACCCCAACTCCAGAATCTTTTTATTTTAATTCTTTTTTTTTAATTTTTAAGTGAATCACCATGAGGTACAGTTATAGACTTAAAAACTTACGTGCTTACGTTTGAGTCATACAATGATCGAGTACCCACCCCTCCACCAGTGCCCATTCTCCACCATCAGTGATCCCAGTATTCCTCCCACCACGCCTACCCCATCTCCCCCATCCTACCCCACCTCTGTGGCAGGGCATTCCCTTTTGCTCTCTCTCTCCTTTTGGGTGATGTGGTTTGCAATAGAGGTATTGAGCGGCCATTGTGTTTGGTCTATAGTCTACTTTCAGCACGCACCTCCCATCCTGAATGGGCACTCTAAGCACCCTTTACTTGGTGGTCCCTTCTCTATCTGAGCTGCCTTTTCCCCCAGCATGTGAGGCCAGCTTCCAAGCCGTGGAGCAATCCTCCTGGTACTCATCTCTATTATTCTTGGGTGTAAGTCTCCCATTCTGTTAATTTATATTCCACAAATGATCAACTCCAGTACCTTGCCAAACCTCTGTACCCACTGAGCAGTAGCCACCCTACTCATCTCCTGGAATCCATTGATCATCTGCTTTTCTTTCTGAATGTGACTAAGTTTCTCATATAAGTGGAATCAGATGGCATTTGTCTTTTTCTCTTGGCAGTGGGCTGTGGGGCCACATGCTGCGATGCTCACCAGTGCGGGGACTCTTGCTTGGCGCTGTGCTCTGGGGCTCTTCCTTGCAACAGCCGGGGGTTGCACTAGGTCAGCTTAAAGCAAGACTAGAATACATGTTAAGATGGTACAGGGGTTAAAGCCTACATTAATAGTGTCTCTCTGGTCCAGCATTTGTCTATTTTGTTTGTTTTTGGTCCACAACTGGCAGTGCTCGGGACTTACCCCTGGCAGGGCCGAAGGGACCATATTTGGTGCCAGATATTGAACTAGGATCAGATGCTTGCAAAGCAAATGCCATCCCCTCTGTACCTCTGCCCTCAATTTTTAACCATGTACATGGCCTCAATTTTTAACCATGTTTTAAAAATTATAAATGTAAGAACTAGAGAGAGGTCAGTGGGCTCAGCATGTGTTTTACATGCCAGAGTCCTCTGTTCAACCCCTGGCACTTCATGTTCCAAAATACCACAGGAAGCAACATTTATTCTGGTGCCAGGAGAGTGCACCTCTACCCAAATAAAATATGAATACAATCTACAGAGAAGAGCGTAAGGCAAAACTTTAAAGTTTGTGTGTGTTTGTGTGTGTGTGTGTGTGTGTGTGTTTCTTAGAACCAGAAAGTACAAGGATTAAGGTACTTGCTTGCATGTGGCCAACCCTGGTTGGATCCCTGGCACCACACATGATCCCCCAAGCACTGCTAGGAGCAACCTTTAAGCACAGAGCCAGGAGTAAGCCCTGAGCACAGCTGAGTATAGCCAAGAAAACCTCTCCCAGGCTCGAGAGATAGTTCAGTGGGACTTACTTTGCATGCCGCCAATCTGGTTTCGATCCCCAGCATCCCATGTCGTCCCCCAAACCTGCCAGGAATAAGCCCTAAGCACCATCAGGTGTGACTTAGATAAAAAAAAGCCTTCCCCAAATGAATATTTACTTAAAAATTACTCATATAGCTGTTATTTTGGCTTAAAAGAATATTCTTTGTATTCTAGATTTCTTACCATTCATATTCATCCTGATTTACTTAAAAATTACTCATATAGCCATTATTCTGGTTTAAAAGAATATTGTTTGTATTCTAGATTTCTTACCATTCATACTCTTATCCTGATTTTTGTGATAATAGTTTCTCTGTTCATCCCTCCAGTTGAATTATATAAGTATATCTGGTTCACATAGTGTAATTTCCTGGTTTTGAATTTCTTTGGGTCTCATTGAAAATTTTTGTGTTTCTTCTTTGTTTTTATTGGAGGGAGGTTGGTTGGAGGGAGGTTGGTTGGAGGGAATCATACCCAGAAGTACTCAGGACTTACTCCTGGCACTATGTTCAAGGGTCACTACTGTATTAACTGGGGGCTGAGAGAATTCAAGTCGGTTCAAGCCTGAGTGGAAAAACTATTTCATGTCAGTCAGTTCCAATCTGTATTTATTTGGCACATCTTATAGTTAATAGGAATTCACTAGGAAACAGGCATATCTTGATTTTTTGATATATAGTAAGCCCCATTAATATATTAATCTAAAGAAAACAAGAAATAGGTAGTATTAGCTCAACCAATTTACACATAGACCAGACTTGAGAAACACAGAGCATACCAAACATGGGAAGAAGATAGAAATGAGCAAGGAATTTACAGACTAGTAAGTGGGGATAGGAAATGAACTAAAATAAACTGTCTGCAGGGCGAGTAGCTTAACTCCTCTCCTACCTCTCTATCCCTGTGTTTCCTCTTTGTTGCCAGTTATTTTTAGTAGGAGTCATCATTTTTATTCTTATAGATAATCCATTTTGTGATTATATCACAGTATATTTATTTTTTTAATATGAAGTCATTTGAGAATTTCCAAACTTAGATATTTTCAGCAGTACTGCTGGAAAAAAAAAGGAATGAGCTCAGTATAATGTATGAGCGGCCTTGTACATTGTACTGATCACATGTGTAGCTGTTTTGCTGGCATGTTTAACAAGGAGTGGAATGCCTGGGTCATAGAACATGCAAACATTCGGTTTATTTTTCAAAGTGCTTACATCGGTTTGAATTCCCATTAACAATATATAAAAGTTCATGTTGTTCCACATCCTCCCTCAATTCTTAGTGGTGTCAGATGTTTCATTTGTGCCATTCTGGTGAGAATACAGTGCTGTTTCATTATGGTTTTAATTTTCACCTCTCTGATTCCTAATAAGGTCTTAACTATTTAATTTTCCTGTTTTGGAAGATGCCTTTTGAATGCTTTTGCATATTGCTCTTCTTTTTTTAAGACAGCATGATTTATAAAATTGTTTATAATAGTTGTTTCAGTGTTTTACATCAGTCCCACCAACAATGTCCCCCCTCCTTCTAGAAATGTCCCCAGGTTATCTCCCAGTCTCCTGCCTTGCCCCCTTGGCAGACACATAATTTATTTCACATTTATTTATTTGTTTTGCTTTTTGGGTCACACCTGGCGATGCTCAAGGGTTACTTACTCCTGGCTCTGCACTCAGGAATTACTCCTGGTGGTGGGAATCGAACCCAGGTTGGCCACGTGCATAGCAAACGCCCTACCCACTGTGTTGTTGCCCCATCCCCAACATATTTATTTCTTATTTTATTATTTAATCCAACAAAACTTAATGGAATGGCAAATGCAGTTATTAGAATATAAGATATTCATTCATTATTGAAAAATGCATAAAATCCCTTAGCAAGCTAGGAGTAAACATAGCTTTTTTTTTTTCTTTTTGGGTCATACTCAGCGATGCACAGGGGTTATTCCTGGCTCTTCACTCAGGAATTATCCCTGTCGGTGCTCAGGGGACCATACGGGATGCTGGGTATCAAACACAGGTCGGCCGCATGCAAGGCAAACACTGTGCTATCACTCCAGCCCCAAACATAGCTTTCTTAATCTTATAGAAGACAAGCATATGCCCCATTAGTGAGTGTCATCCTCAGTACTACATGAACACCTTGCATGAGTTAACCCGGAATACCAAGCCAGAATAGTCTCTGAGCACCACCACTTGTGGACTCAGAACCAGTACAAAAGAACTAAATCTCCTTTTTTCAGTTAAGAAGAGAATATACATTAGGTTGTTCATAATTACAAAAACATTTAAATTCCACTAGGGGGAGAACTCAACTTGTTCAAGTATTTTTGTGCTTCAGATCTTTTCACACCAGTTCTCTTCACTTACGATTACTTTTTGAGTAATTTT